AGTGTTCAAATCTTTTACTTGCTGAGACAAAAGCCTTTACTCAGAACTGATTCAGACTTGGAATGACGTTCTCTGAAAAACAAGCACCCATTTTGCTTCCAAAAAAAGGAGTTTCTAAAGATCTAAAGGACTGTGTTTAAATGATAGACCTACTTTAGCTTCAATTATCTGACTCGTTTAGAGTGGTCTTTCTCAAACTTCACTTTTGTCTAGGCAGCAAGGTCCTTTTTTCAATTGAACTCTCACTCGGAACCCCAACGTATTAAATAAATGAAAGCAAAGATGCAGGGGTTGGAGCTGGGGCTGGAGGCAGGGGGATAGGAAAGCAAGATTCTGTTTGGCTCCCACTGGAATACACGCTCTACAATCGCAGATGTTTTGCCTGGCTTGTTCAATGATGCATCTCCAATATCTACAACAATCCCTTACACTAACAAGGCTCAACAGGTATTCATGAATGAATGATGGGTGGATAGCATATGAAGAAGGCTGGCACATAATAGGCACCTGACAAAAATCTCAGTGCCTCTTACCTAACACCTGCAAGAAATTGAGTGACATGTTGGTGTGAGAATAAGAACTTCCAGCTGGGATAAGAAACATACCCTCCTTTGTCACCCACCTACCTTGTCATCCCTCTTGCTATTTTTCTCCAGGACGGTTAGGTGTATAATGGGAGCAAAAAGACACAAGATGGCATGACTTTGGCCTCCTCACTTCTTTCCTCCCTTCTCGAAACCCTATAGGCAAATGACAGCCTGAAAAAATCAGACGGAGCACCTGGTGAAACACAAGTATGTACCCCAAGTGTGTGCCACCCTCCTCAATGATAGCACATCAGTAAGAAGTGAGGTCACATGCTCAGCTCTGGAGCCAACAAGTTAAATTTGAGATTAGGACAAATAAAGTTAACAGGCAACCTGATGGAAAAAAAACAAATTCAAACTTTTTCATTTGCAAAACAATCTTTATTCCTTATCTGATAAAAATAGTACCCACATGATAGGTTTGTGTGGAAATTAAATGAGCTGATTAGCTGATTAGCAAAGTACCTAACTCATAATGAACACTCAAGAAAAGCTCATTTTCCCAGAAGTCTCAAAACAATCATTCAAAGATAAACTTTTTTAGGTGTGCCTGGGTGGCTCAGTCAGTTAAGCATCCAACTTCGGCTCAGGTCGTGATCCATAGTTCGTCAGTTCGAGCCCTACATCGGGCTCTCTGCTGTCAGCTCAAAGCCTGCTTCGGACACTCTGTCCCTCCCCCGCTTGTTCTCTCTCTCTCTCTCTCTCTCTCTCTCTCTCAAAAGAAAAAAAACAGATAAACTATTTTATACAGAAATCTCAAAGCAAAGATCAAGGACGGACATTACAGAAATTCAGAGACTTGATCAGGGGAGAATGTCAGGATCTAATGGAAGCATATTTTAAGTGATGAGATTCTGATGGGCACATGGGGAGAAAAACCAGGAGTCCTGAGTTCCCTGAGAGAAAGGTAGATGAAAAACGAGAGACTGTATGTGTAGCGATCAAGAGTTGGGCACTGAAGTCATGAATGTATGACCTGAGTTAACATCCCAGTATTGGTATTTGCTGACATTTCTTTTTTCTGAACCTCCATTTTCTCATCTATAAAATGGAAATAAAAAGAATTCCTATTTCAGAGGCTGCTGTGAGGATAAAATGTGACAACATATTCAAACCTTCTGAATACGGTAAGAGCTCAGTACGTGGTAGCTCTAACCATTAGTATTCTTGGGATTAAAATGCCTGGAAAGAAAGAATGGGCTAGAAAAAGTGGCAGTTTCTTCAATTCTAAGCAGGGGCAGAGACTCACTTCTAGACAGGTGGTTCTGCATGGGTACTGAGAGTCGTATGTAGAATTCATCCATGAAGGGGAAAGCAGAAAGGAGAGCCATGGGTGCATCTATGACCTAGCAAGGGTGGTCACTTTCCCTTTCTTGAGTTCTGTTGACAACAACCTCTGAGATAAGCAACTGGAGGGTTTGAGGCTGATTTTGCCACAAGCAGACACTGAGATGAAGTTTCACATGCACGTAGTTTATTAAGCAATTGCTCCTATAAGAACCAGAAAGAATGGAGGAAATGGGATACAGAAGAAGCCAAAAATGGTGCAAGTTTGCATTAACCCCAACCTTAGTTTTGTCCTTCAGGGGACCTCTGGCATGTAAATTACACATCAGAGCTGGACTTTGATATTTCTGCATTAGTCTTTGGATAAGGGCTGCCCCGGGGGGATGTAACCTCCCAGGCTTTTCTCATTTTCTGTACTTTTAGGGAAAGTGGTTCTAGTCACTGAAGGGTCATCCTCTTTTTTTTTTTTTTTTTATTTTTTTTTTTCAACGTTTATTTATTTTTGGGACAGAGAGAGACAGAGCATGAACGGGGGAGGGGCAGAAAGAGAGGGAGACACAGAATCGGAAACAGGCTCCAGGCTCCGAGCCATCAGCCCAGAGCCCGACGCGGGGCTCGAACTCACGGACCGCGAGATCGTGACCTGGCTGAAGTCGGACGCCCAACCGACTGCGCCACCCAGGCGCCCCAAGGGTCATCCTCTTAAAAAGAGTTGGAAGTGCTGGCCTTTAAAGGCAAAGTACATAGAAGCTAGGAAGATGGGTACACAAAAGTAGTAAAAGCTATCTGAGGGCATCTGTGCAAAGGACTGACACACTGACAACGTTTGCTACCAAATGTGTGTTATTCCTATTTTATAGGTGAGGGAACAGGTTCAGAGAATATCGAAAGTTACCCACTTGGCAAATCATAGTACCAGTACCATAATTTTTTTAAAGATGGTTTTACTAATATGTCAATGGTGATTATCTGAGGTTTGTTTAATTAAATTCAGGTGACTCAAATTCCTTCCTTGTTTATGTTGCTTAACTTTGAAACAAATTAACATTTATTTTTTTATATGTTCATAAAAAACTATTTCCATGGGAGATATAGGAAATGAATAAGTCAATACACTTAAGAAAGTTCCTTTCAGCTCTGAAATTCTGTTAAATCCATTGTAATAACGTGGATTAACATCAAAGACTACTGGCATTTTTATAAGGGACTCCTGAACAGGGAAATACAAAACAGCTGTAAAACGACTAATAAGATGGCATTAGTAAGTCCTTACCTATAAATCATTACCCGAAATGTAAATGGATTAAGTTCTCCATTAAAAAGCTATAGAGTGACTGAATAGATTCAAAAAAAAAAAAAAAAAAGAAAGACCCAACAATATGCTGCCTACAAGAAACTCACTTCAGCTATAAGGACACACATTGGCTCAAAGTGAAGGGATGGAAAAAGACATTCCATGCAAATGGAAATCAAAAGAGAACAGGGATGGCTATATTTATTGACAACAGATAAAATAGACTTCAAGCAAAAATCTATAACGAGACAAGGAAGGTCACTATATAACAGTGATATCACTATATAATTGATAAAAGGGTCAATTCATGAAGAAGATATAACAGTTATAAATATATATGCACTCAACCTCAGAGCACCTAAATATATTAAGCAAATACTAACCAATCTGAAGGGAGAAATAGACAGAAATGCAACAATGATGGAGGATTTCAGTACTCCACTTTCAACAATAGATTACCCAGATAGAAAACCAGTAAGGAAATGTTGGACTTAAACTGTACTCTAGACCAAATGGACCTAAAAGACATACAGAACATTCCATCCAACAGCACCAGTACATTCTTCTCCAGTTCATGTGGAATAATCTCCAGAATAGATCATATGATAGGACACAAAATAAGTCTTAGCAAATTTACAAAGATTGAAATCATACCAACTATCTTTTCCAACCATGTGGAAATTAAACAACGCACTCCTGAACAATCAATGGGTCAAAGAAGAAATCAAAAGACATTTTAAAATATTTTGAAACAAACAAAAATGAAAACATTACATACCAAAATTTATCAGATGCTACAAAAACGCTTCTAAGAGAGAGTTTATAGCAATAAATACCTACATTAAAAAAAAGAAAGATCTCAAACAACCTAACTTTACACCTCAAAAAATTAGGAAAAGAACAAACTAAGCCCAGATTTAGTAGAATGAAGGAAATTAAAGACCATAGCAGAAAACAATGAAAGAGACCAGAAAAAGAATAGAAAAGATGAAACTTAAAACCTTTTTTAAAAAATATAAACAAAATTGACAAACCTTAGCTAGACTAAATAAGAAAAGAGAGAAGACTCAAAAAATAAAATCAGAAATAAAAGTGGAGACATTGCACAGAAATACAAAGGATCACAGAAGACTAGTGAATAATTATACAACAACAAATAGGATAACCATGAAAGAATGGTTAATTCTTAGAAACATCCAACCTCCTGAGACGAAATCATGAAGAAATAGAAAGTATGAACAGACCAATAACAAGTAACAAGATTCAATCAGTAATCAAAAATCTCCCAACAAAAACCCAGGAGCAGTGGGTTTCCCAGGGAATTTACCAAATGTAAAAAATATATAATAAAACTTCATCCTCCTAAACACTGAAACACATCCTCCTAAACATCTCCAAAACTGAAGAGGAGAGAACACTCCCAAACTCATTTTACAAAGCTAACATTACTCTGATACCAAACTACAGGCCAATATCCCTGATGAATATAGCTGCAAAAAGTCTCAGTAAAGTGTTAGCAAAATGAATTCAACAGCACAATATAAGGATCATACACCATGCACAAGCGGAATTTATCTCTGGAATGCAAGGATGATTCAACATATACAAATCAATAAATGTGGTACACACTGATTAATACAAGGAAAGGTAATTATCTGATCATCTCAATCGATGCAGAAAAAGCATTTGACAAAATAGATCATCCTTTCATGGTAAGAACTCTCAGCAAATTATGTATAGGAAGACCATAAGAACATATTAAAGGCCATATATGACAAGCCCACAGCTAGCATCATACTCAATGGTGAATGTTTGAAAGCTTTTCCTTTAAGATCAGGAACAGGACAAGAGGCCCACTCTCATCAGTCCTAGTCAGCACAGTACTAGAAGTCCCAACCAGAGCAATCAGGTAAGAAAAAGGAATAAAACATCCAAATCACAATGGAAAAAGTAAAATTGTCACTGTTTGCAGATGATATAATCTTATATAAAGAAATCCTAAAGACTCCACCAAAAATCTATTAGAACTAATCAACAAACTCAGTGAAGTTGCAGAATACAAAATCAGCATACAGAAACCAGTTACATTTTGATACACTAACAATAAAATACCTAAAAAAGAAGTAAAGAAAACAGTCACATTCACAATAGCATCAAAACCAATACAATACATAGGAATAAATTTAACAGAGGTGAATGCTCTGTAAACTTAAAACCATAAGACATTGAATAAAAAAATTGAAGAGGACACAAACAAATAGAAACTTATCCCATGTCCATGGATTAGAAGAATTAATATTGTTAAAGTGTCCATATTACCCAAAGCCATCTATAGATTCTATGCAATCCCTATTAAAATTCTAATGACATTTTTTCCCAGAAAGAGAAAAAAAAAAATCCAAAAATTTATATGGAACTACAAAAGACCCTGAGTAACCAAAGTAATCCTGAGAAAGCCCAAAGCAGGAAGCATCCCAATTCTTGACTTCAAACTATACTACAAAGCTATAGTAATCAAAACAGGATGATACTGCCCTAAAAACAGATACATAAACCACTAAAACAGAATCGAAAGCCCAGAAATAATTCCTTGTCTACACAGTCAACTGATATTTGACAAGGGAGTTAAGAATACTGAATGGGGGGGGGCGCCTGGGTGGCGCAGTCGGTTGAGCGTCCGACTTCAGCCAGGTCACGATCTCACGG